GCGTTGGTACCGTGTACAATAGTGTTTTGCTGCAGTGACATCTCGCTGCTGGCGACTCGCTGCTCTGCTGGCCGATGACTCGCTGCTGGCGAATCGATCTGCGCATGTGTATAAAATGGTATTTATTTCCGAAAACACTATGTCAGTCTACAACAAGCGTCGCCTAAATGTAATAATTAGCACGTTGAAATAGGCTAGTAAATAATTTTAACTGGGTTCGTAAATAATATTAGCCTCAAAATATTGTGGCTGAGACATGAGCCGATTAAACGTAGAAATAGGAAACTTAGAAATATAATATAAACGCTGAATAGTACTCCAGCGTCGCGACATGCGGACGTTGGTACGAGTAGGTTAGTCTACAAACGTCGCCTAAAGTAATTGATTTTACCCGGCAGAACGAAAGAAGGAAACTCCTCTTTTCAATTGTCATAGGCGCAGGTTTTTTGACAAACAATGACCTTTCAGAGGTCAAATTGCTGTCAAGAATATGAATTGGCTGCTTCGCAGCAATAAATGAATATAAAGTTGTCGGTTCAGGCAACGTATAGTGCTCGATGCTATGCAGAGCGGTATAATAATAATAATAATAATAAGGAACTTGTAATTTCACTCTACAGGCTGTTTCATGCACTAGGCAATCTTCAGGAGTGAAGGGAATTTCAAATTTGACGTGTATATGTAGAGTTGGGCCGGTGTAGATGCAAATTGGGTATTATGTGTTTTTGAGTAGGAATTTGGCACGGTGTCTGCATCTTGAAAGGAGTTCGTGCCTTTTGTTCAAAGTAGATTGTTTGTCTGCATAAATTATATGAAACTTTCCTGCGTTGCATAGATTGCATCACTTTGTTTTTGGCTCTATCAATAATGGACCATTTGATATTGTATTGTGTTTTGCTGTCTTTTAGTTTCAATATGAACTTTGAAAGTTCTGTGCTGTTTCTGTGTTTTGGTGCATTGAATGTGTGCTTATGATTTGTATATCGGGTTTTAAATGCGGTATCTGTGAGCCCGATGTAATGCTTTGATTCTCCGTTTGTTGTGATTGTAGCTTTGTAAATAATTGAGGAGGTGAGGCAGTTTCCCGAGAGTGGGCAATCTTCTTTAATCCGACAGTTGCATAGTTTGGTCGGTGCTTGTTGTTTGGTGTGGAGAAGGTGATTGTTGTGGGCTTTGATGGTGCTGCCCATGTTTGTTGTGCAACTGTAGCTAACTTTTACGTTGTTCTTGTTGAACAATTTGTGCAGGATACTGTCTTTGTAGAAGTGCTTTTTGACCAGGTTAAGGAAAGTTCTGCCGATGTTTGTTTTGAAGTTTTTGCTGAAAGGTGGGTTGTACCATATGATGTTCCTTTTTCTTCTGGCTTTTGAGTTGTTTGTAGGTGGTTTTTCGTATTTCATCTTGTGTTGAAATCCGCTGTCCCTAGTGCTTTTTGGTAGTCGGGGGCGGCCTTTTGAAAAGTTGCTTCTGAATCGGAGTTGCTTGATATTCTTTTATTGATTGAAGAGGGGATTTGCTTTAAGATGGATGGAGGGTGGTTTGATCTTTTGTCCACGTATAGTAATTTGTTGTCTGGTTTGGTGAATAGAGCGTAGGATCCGTTAGTCAGGTTGAATGTGACATCAAGGAAGTTTGTGATCTTTATGTTTGCTTGTATATTGATGCGGAGGTCAAAGGAGTGAAAGATGGATGTGATTTCTTTCTTCATCTTGTCACATAGTCTTGGAGATGTGCTGCTCATGATGGCGAGGCCATCGTCTCGGTAGAGCCCGATGTTTGTTTTTCAAAGTAAAGCAATATTCACACACGAAACGAAAACAGAACATCGAATCAGCGGTAAAGAACAAAGGCGCGTATTAAGATGCGCATCCTAAACGTTCTACTTAATATGGAATAAACAAAGTAGACAAAAGCTGGATAAAGGCCTAGGAACCAAGAAAAAAAATTAAGTATATATAAATGAATAGTCTGATAAGTAATCTAAAGGCCAACTCAGACAGCGTGGGCCGACGCAGCCCGACCCGATTTATCGTCGGGGACAGTCTTAAGCCGTCGTGAGAAATTTTAAACACGTTTAATATTCTACTACGCGACTGCCCCTGACGCACACCATCGCGTCTGCGTTCAACTCACACAGACCCGACGCGACAACAAATCGCGTCGGGCTGCGTCGGCCGACGCTGTCTGAGTTAGCCTTAAGTCTTTATTTAAATCGTTAATATAAGAATTGGTTCTAAGAATCCACTTCAATTCTTCTTTACGTCTATGTGAGAGGGATAAAAAGTTATTAGCGACCAAAACAAATCTTATGTCATTAATGCTATGGTTAGGTAGATTGAAGTGACAGGCTACTGGGAAACCAGTGGAGTTGTCTCTGATGGTTTTTTGTGATTATTAAATCGGAGGCGGAATTTAATGCCAGTCTCTCCAATGTAATTACCAATTTGACATTTGTTACAAACTAAAATGTAAATAACGTTAGAAGAATCACAAGTAAGTGGAGG